TTGTTGCAAAATTGGACCGAATCAATTTTATAAAATACTAGGACATATTTAATGCACAATTGATAAAATGGTTGGGTGTAAAAAGTTTTGATCCACCTCTCGTGAAAAAGACAAATTTTCGCCGATTCAGTTGGAAGCGGGTCAAATTTGAACTGCAGCTGCCTCATAGTTTGCTAATTATTTTTTCCAAAAATCATTTCTAGGTACATAAGTATCTATTTTATCAGAGAAACACCAAAAAAATCCCAAGATTCAACCACTAGCTAGAAACGGTCATTCCCGCCGTTTTGACCGCATTTTGAAACGGTCATAAAAAATTCAAAAAAATTAAAAAATTAGGAAACCTTCACATTGTATCATAATATGTGGCCAAGTTCCCAGGAAAAATAACAAACTTGTAATACGGCAATTATTATAAAGAAGTGTTCTCAAAAATGAGCTATCACGTGTGGAGATCAATGGCTTTCAAGCCAGATGATCAATCTTATGGCCACATTCATGACATAGTTTGTTCAAATGATCTCATATTATGCACAAGGGTGCATATTGGAATGGCAAACAATGTTGCCTAAGGAAGTTTTCATTTTCTTTGGATGAAAAAACCATTTTCCATTTTTTGAGTGCCCGAAAGGAGGTTTTTTTGTGAAGGACCTACCAAATAATTGTTGCAAAATTGGACCAAATAAATTTTCTAAAATACTATGACATATTTAATGCACAATTGACAAAATGTTTGGGTGTAAAAAGTTTTGATCCACCTCTCGTGAAAAAGACAAATTTCCGCCGATTCAGTTGGAAGCGGGTCAAATTTGAACTACAGCCGCCTCATAGTTTGCTATTTATTTTTTCCAAAAATCATTTCTAATTACATAAGGACCTATTTAATCATAAATACATGGTTTGATGGCGATACGTCGAGGTTTGGGCGGTGGCCGAGGGCCCCAACTCTAGAGCGCATAAACTCGCATGCCTGCCGCGTGGTCACCGCGTGTCCGTGGCGTTGCCATGTGTTCTGGGTGGCCTAGGCATGTCTAGTGGGTTGAGCACTCCCCAGGTAGGTGCTAGGAAGAAAATTACAACATAAGATTCTCACGAGGAGACCGATCATGCTCAAACATGAATTAGCAGCCAAGTGTTTGATTAGCGGTACGGAAAATGCACATGGCTAATGGGCGTGAGTTTTGGCTGAGGATGACCAGTTACTAAGAAGACCGTCTTCACAAATTTTCAGCTCAAAAGGAGGAGCCTAGGTGGTACTTGCTTTGCAAAGTACCACACTGGACATAAATACGAATGTTGAAGCTGGGCTCAAAATAATGAATGGATTGAGTTGGCATTTGGTGGAGGATGGTTATTTGGGCATAGGAAAGCGCCGTAGAAAATGGATACCATTTGGACATGACAAAGTTGTACTTCTTTCACAAAGTGTTGTTTTGAACAGAATAGAAAAATGAATATTTTTGAATTATATTTTAACTAGGCGGGGAAGGTTTTTGACATATTTGACGAAGATATGATCCAGAGAATTTATGAGATTTTTTAGGGAATTTTGGGACTAACAGAAATATAGGTTGCTTCACAACCTAGGGCAAAAACTGCCACATGGACATGACACATAGGCAAAACTGATGAGGTGTCGCGTAGCAACCCATCACAATTTACAAGGTTATGACCATCTATATTGGTCATGATCAGCTAGAAATAAGGCAGCGGACCAGTGCTATCTGCTTTATGACCATTTCGTGTAAGGAAATTACGACCTTTCTGACCAAAATTGTCGTTATAGTTTAGGGTTTGGAGCCCCCCGAACAGCTTTTGACCAATTGGTCTGAAATGGACATAGATCTATGACCAATTCTTTCAGGGTCACTGGCAGAAGGTCACTAGTTGACATATTTCTTGTAGTGCGACGATGCTCTTTGATTTCTTCACCTGGTGCGAATCCTCAACCAGAAAAGCGCCCCTCCGTTTCTGGAAGGTTTTGGCTCTCTTGCTATTCTCACAGCTACACTGTGGAAGCATCGCAATCATTGTGTTTTGCAGACTAAGGCATAATCTAGTGGTGAAAAGAGGTGATGCCTTCCCACTCATCCAGCTTGAAGGCATGATACTTAGGGCATCTCCAGCCGCGCACCCAACAGGCCCCCCAGGCCACTTTTTCGGCGCCGGCGCCGAAAAAACGGCCCAGTCGCGCCCCCAGGACGCCGATAATCGCTGGTTCGGACCTTTTTTCCACCCAGTGGTCACAGGCCGAACCCGGCGCGCTGGGGAGCAGTTGGGGGCTCCGGCGCTAGGGAAAAGCACGCCTGGCCCACACCGACAGGGGAAAAAGTCAAGGTTTTCTTCCCCCGACTCGCCTCGCACCCCCGCGCCCTCGCACGCCTGGTTTTCTTCCCCTCGACCACCACTAGCTATATCCCGGCGACGGCCGCCGCCCTACTCCGCTAGATAGTCATTCCCCGCTGGAAAATAGCAGCGCTTCGCTGCGGCAGCCCCTCCCACAGCAGTTGGGCGTTTCCGGCCGCCGTTTCCGGCCATGGAGGCGCGGTTTAGCGGTGGGTACATGCCCACCGAGCGCAAGGTGTTCGGCGTTTTGCCTGTTTCGGCGATGGACTCGGATGACGAGGAAGAGCTCGTCGCGCTGCTGGAGGAGGAAGCCGCGGCCGACGTCCAGAAAGAAGAGCATCTCATGGTGCTCGCCGCCCTCGCCCAGCTGCTGGCGAGCAATGAAAAGCCGCGGTGAGGTGGCTCGGCGTCTGGGCGGGTGAAAGCAAAGAACCGGCATCGTCTCGAAGACTACTGCATGCTCTACTCCGACTACTTCGCCGATGCTCCACTTCATGGCGAGAAAACATTTCGGCGCCATTATCGGATGAACCGAAAGCTCTTCCTCAGGATTGTGAATTCCATCCGGGAGTTCGACAACTACTTCAAGTGCAAGATGGATTGCACTGGCGCTCTTGGATTCACCTCCATCCAGAAGTGCACGACATCGATGAGGATGCTTGCATATGGAGCTCCCAGTGATTCACTCGACGACTATGGGCGCATGGCCGAGTCCACCAGCATAGAGTGTTTCTACAAGTTCTGTCGGGCAGTGGTGGCAGTGTTTGGGCCACAATACTTGAGAACACCCAATGCGGAAGACACTGCTCGGATCCTAGCCCAGAATGCAGTAAGAGGATTTCCTGGGATGCTTGGAAGCATCGACTGCATGCATTGGAAATGGAAGAATTGCCCATTTGGTTGGCAGGGGATGTACAAAGGCGCCAAAGGCGGTTGCAGTGTGGTGCTTGAGGCGGTAGCCACACAGGACCTCTGGATTTGGCACTCCTTCTTTGGTATGCCAGGAACTCACAATGACATCAACGTGCTGCAGTGCTCTCATGTTTTTGCCAAGCTCGTTGAGGGCCATTCTCCTCCGGTGAACTTCGAGATCAATGGGCACCATTACAACAAGGGGTACTACCTAGCAGATGGCATCTATCCGAGATGGTCGACATTTGTGAAGACGATCTCAAACCCTGCGGCAGGAGGCAAGAACGCCTGGTTTGCGAAAGTTCAGGAGGCTTGCAGGAAGGATGTCGAGCGGGCATTTGGTGTGCTCCAATTTCGATTCGCTGTTGTTCGGTACCCCGCTCAGACCTGATCCAAAGATCAAATGTGGGAGATTATGACTTGCTGTGTCATCTTGCACAACATGATCATCGAGAGCGAGCAAGAAGACCCAGTGTTTGACACTGAACCATACTACAGGCAGGGTCCTTTAGCCGAAATTGATCACCATCTACCGGCAACTTGGACTGCCTATCTCAGTATGCGTCGGGAGATCCGAGACCCACAGGTGCATCATCAACTGCAGAAATATCTGATTGAGCACCTATGGAGGCTCAAGGGGGACGCCGTGTGATGGAATCCGAGTTTTTATTTGTTGAACTATATAATTTGTATTGAACTATTTGTTGTTGTACTATTTTATTGAAGTATTTGATTTTTCTGTGATGAAACATGTGATAAGAAATAATTGTGTTGATAATTGAACGCCGAGACACGGCGAAACCACGCCGAATATGGGCCTATTCTCGTCCATATGGGCCCTTTATTCGCCGAAATTGGGCTGCAAAGTGGGCCAATTTCGGCGCCTGGGGGCGAGCTGGGGGCGACGACTGGGCGCAAAACCGCCCCCCAGTGCCGATTGTATCGCCGGCTCTGGGGTGATTTTTATGCGTCCCGAGGGGGGGCAACGGCTGGAGATGCCCTTATAATTTAGGTATGTTATACCAATTATATTGTAGGGGTCCTCCTTTATAGTCTTTCTTTCAGAAGAAAAAAAATGATGTGTTTCCGATGGCGAGAGACCCTCCGCGGCGTGTGTGCTGCAGGAAATCAAAGACGAGGCGCGGCAATGGACTAACGCTGGTGCTAAGGGTCTGGGTATGATCTTAATAGTCTCTTTTTTTTTTGCCATGATCTTAACACAGTCGCTTGTTGCTCTAGGGGCTGAGCAACCCCTCATTGCTGCTCCCAATTTTTGTCTATGCGCCTCTGTGTATGCATTGACGAGACACTCTGTAACATTATTTCTATCTATTAATGAAAAGATACGCACCCAGCGTATTCGTGAAAAGTCGAGGAGGGCCCAAAATGTTGATAGGAAAGTTTAGCTAGGGCGTGGGCTGCCCCAAGCACATTTGTACATCGCATTCTGAGCAGAAGTCTGCCGTCACGAGTAGTATCTTTCAAGAGATACCCACTTTGGGAGGCCTTTGAAATCGACTCTGACCCAGATTGTCTCGGCCCTGCTACAGACGCGGGGCCCTAGTGTACAGCCCTGATTTAATACAAGGCCAAGAGAGGCCATTACCACCAGTAGCGGCCGTCAGGGAGCACGGCCAAGTTGTTAAAGGCAGCGGGGACAGGGCCACCGCCCACCGCCGTCGTACTCGTGGAACTTGCCTGCTCGCCACCCCGCCCTTCGCTGCTACCGCCGCAGCCGATCGATGGCCGACTCCGCCGCCAAGCGGCCTCCAACGCCGGCGCCGGCCTCCGGCGGAGGCGGTACGCACGCACACCCCTCCGTCCTCTCCTAATCTCTTTGTTGTTTACGCCTTATGCTTGGCGGTTTTGCCTGACTCTTATGTGTTGCTCTGGACCTGCGGTGCCATGTGATCCGCCCGGTTGCCTTCTTGCTTCTTTGATCGCGAGTAGTGCTGGATTTGCTCTTACGACGACGTGTAACGACGTGATTCGCGAGATTGTCCGGTCATAAGTGAAGTGCACCTCTGTTTGTTGCCTCCAAATAGTAGTAGTTTTTGTTCCTTCTTGCACTCGTCTGAACCAGTTGAAAAACACGACTTAATTCATGTTACAAATCCTTAGCATCGTAATATACCTGATTCCCCGTCCTTGCCACTTTTTAGCAGTACAAATTTATTCACCAAGCAAGTTATTCACATGTATAAATCCAAATAAAGACAATAGGTGAAGGAGTCATCCTGGATTCCCTGCAAAATTTGTGTACAAGTTTGCTTCCCAGGGGAATAAAATAGATGCTCGGTTTCAGAAATTTACGCCAGTTTTTGTCGCTTGATTCTAGATGACCCAGTTAGATTACTCTTCTTGAGAGAATGATTCAGTAGCGCTACCTGATGAACATCGGCATTAAACCGGCAGTCCAAGATGACATAGTTGTTCTATATCTTTTGATTTCAACCGCTTCCTGGCTCACAAAGGAACCTGGTATAGTTGAACTTTCAATTTTCTGTAGAAACTCTTCAGAGTTGGTTATCCTTTCAGATCTGTTGCTAAACTGCATAGTGTTCAGAACATTTCCCCTTGCTAGAATATTCAAAGTAACTTACCTTTCCTGCGTCCCATGTCCAAAGTTTTGTCGCAAAAATTTCATACCACTCTACATCTGTCGTAGAAATTTCATTGACCACTTTTCAATTTCAAATCCTGGTGTTGTTTTCCTGCAAAGCATATGGTGTCATTTTCTCAGAGGAAAAGAATTACTGCATTCAAAACTCTAGTAAGTCGCATAAGTGTTGACAGAGTGTGTTGCGTGGTTCTCGAATACATGACCCATGAGGGTTTACCTCGTGACTTGCGTGGATTTATATATTAGTGTATTATTACAAATAAACATGATATTATGGTGGTTATGATAATGAAATACTATTTTAAGTATGGAGAGAGCACACGCAAACGTCTGCACTCATTTATTTATTTATTTTTGAGAGAGAGAAGAATAATTTGGGATTTGAGCCCTTCTGTCTGGAAACGAAAGGAGTACAGCTAGAAGCCTTAGAATCACCGATCACAAACCACACGTTGAAGATCAGATCTTGATTTGATTTCTTAGGGCATAGCACTATCAGACAATCAAACCTTCATTATTTATTCCATGCAGGGATCGAGTTGACAGTGGATGAACCTATGCTTGAAACTGACAGTTTAAGATGATACTACTACTAGTAGATTATTCTATATTTTGCTTCTATCTGTTTCTTAGCTGACAGATCACAGATGCATGGCATACTTAATTATTTCGTGGGACCTACTATGCTTTCCTTCAGACTTCATTGATCTGCCAATCATTTGGGAGATTTTCTCTTGGTATAATGGTTTCAATACGTCTGAATGCCTGATTCACCAATTTGTCCACAACAACAAGACTTATTCAGAAATTCTAATGCTGGTGCTGTCAATGTCATGAAAATATCTCCAGATAGGTTCTACAATCTCTCATATTGAAAATGTCACGAAAGCATTGGTGTCATGTTGGACCTGTACTGTAATATCAAACCTTCTAGTAGAACTTTATGACGTTGCAACTTGGTGCATGTTCAAACCTTCCATCTCTGATTTATGTCAAAAGCTAAGTTGAAACAATCCATCTCTTAAGCCAGAAGACATCTTACAATCTGTGCACTAATTTAAACGAGGCGCAGAAGTTCAAATTGCAGTGACACAGCACTGATTTCACGTGTTTGCTATCTCATTTCACAGGCATGGCGTGGAAGCTCTCTCTAGCTCTGTTTGTGTTCCTGGCGGCGCTGCTGTACAAGCAGCTTCAGCCTCCGGCTCCGAAAATCGCTGGCTCGCCGGGTGCCCCCCCTGTTACAGCATCAAGAACAAAGCTCAAAGACGGCAGGCATTTGGCATACCTGGAATCTGGCGTCCCAAAGGAGGAGGCCAAGTACAAGATCATTTTTGTCCATGGATTCGACTCCTGCAGATACGACGTGCTTCAAGTTTCCCCGGTACATAATTATTATCTTAAGAATCATGTTAAGGATCGAACAATCTTTTCATGCTGACACGAAGTGATTGTCACGGCATGGACTGGTGAAATCTGGTACAGGAGCTGGCCCAAGAGCTGGGCATCTACCTGCTGTCCTTCGACCGGCCTGGGTATGGTGAGAGCGACCCTGACCCGGCAGCGTCCGAGAAGAGCATCACCCTCGACATCGAGGAGCTGGCCGACAACCTGCAGCTGGGCTCCAAATTCCACCTCATCGGCTTCTCTATGGGCGGCGAAATCATGTGGAGCTGCCTCAAGTACATCCCTCACAGGTAACACGGCATCATGAACTTATCAAGCTGATCACCGTGCATCTTTCTTCACTGCAACATCCAAGGCTTCAGGTCTGAATGTTTGTTCCACCGTGGTGCAACAGGCTCTCCGGGGTGGCCATTCTCGGGCCGGTGGGCAACTACTGGTGGTCCGGCTTGCCGTCGAACGTGTCATGGGACGCCTGGTACCAGCAGCTCCCACGGGACCAATGGGCGGTCTGGGTCTCCCACCATCTGCCATGGCTGACCTACTGGTGGAACACCCAGAAGCTCTTCCCGGCCTCCAGCGTCATCGCCTACAACCCTGCGCTCCTGTCCGAAGAAGACGCGAAGCTCATGGAGAAGTTTGGAATGCGAACCTACATGGTACGTATGGTAACAAGCACCTGGCATGGTTAAGCTGGATACAAAATCCCCGTGTAACTGAACTGACGGTTCATTTCTCTGGTCCGTTTGTGCGTCTCGCAGACGATGATAAGGCAGCAGGGGGAGTACTACTGCCTGCACCGCGACATGATGGTCGGGTTCGGGAAGTGGGGTTGGAGCCCCCTGAACCTCAAGGACCCGTTCGCCGGCGGCGAAGGCAAGGTGCACCTCTGGCATGGCGCGGAGGACCGCATCGTGCCGGTCATCCTGTCGAGGTACATCAGCGAGGGGCTCCCGTGGGTAGTCTACCACGAGCTCCCCAAGTCCGGACACCTCTTCCCCGTTGTCCAGGAGATGGCCGACGCCATCGTCAAGTCCCTGCTGCTCGGAGAGCAGTGACCTTCCACTCCCCATCATCTATCTCTGCGTATGCTTCTTGTGCAGTACTGCCGCACCGTGTGGTTGGCTCCTCCTCACGGGCACCGAATAATAGTGTTTCTTTCGGTCTGGAAGACGACGACAGACACTTGTATATATCGTGCAAAAAAACAGTGTTTCCCATTTGGATCATGTACCCGGTCCCATTTGGGCTTGACCAGGGCAGCTGGCCTCGGAACGGACTCGTGACCCGGGGGCCGTGAATGAGGCGGACGGCCGGGCATGCTGTCGATCCGCCGGCGACTTGGACCACATGCGATTTTGGAGCCGAGAAAGGCATCTTGCATCGCCCGGAGATGGCACAACACAAGACGCCCAGCGCTTTCGCTGTCCATGGTCCGCACTAACCTGGCGCTGTCCACTGGCATCTTGAATCTCTCCCATTGCCGTCCAAAATCACTGTTTTAACGTTTAACCGAGAGACTAGAGCATCTACAGCACCCAACCCCCTTCCCTATATGCTCGGGCAGACGACCCGGTCCAGCCGGGCTCTTCGTATCGGCCGCGTATGCCCGGGCAGGCAGCACCCCTCGTATGCAACCTATATCTGTGATGGATATGGGAGACCCAGGCGCGTCCATCACACCATAGGGACCCATGTAGAAACACTCAGAAACCCATCGGTCCAGTGGGTCTCCTCCGATTTTTTATGTGGACACTATAGCACGCCGCCTCAAGCCCAAGTCCATCTATTTAAGTTGGACGACCCCAACCCTAGCTGCGTCCCATTTCCCTCCCTTCGCGCCACCACCCACCCACCCATTCGCTCGCAACTCGCTGTCTGCAACAAATAACGACCTACACTATGCTCGCTCATGCGCGCCGGCTGCTATTCCTAAAACAGCTTCGGGCACGACATGAGGCTCAGATTGCAGCTAGCCTGCCTCCGGACTCTCCGAAGCATGAGGAGGAGGAGGTGGAGGAGCAGGCGTTGGACGCAGCGATGGAGGAGGAGGACAACAGGCGGATTAGGTGCTTCTGGTTGCCCAAGCCGGATCCGGCATGGCCGACACGCTTAGCGAATATGAGGTCGCCCAAGCGGATGAGGCGGTGGAGCAGCAAGCCATCATGGAGTCCATCTGCTCCAAGGCGAAGGTGGAGGCGAACCGCCACTACATCCGTGATCGGCGAGCGGAGGTGGATGCAATCTTCTCGGACATGAAGTCCGACAAGGAGCCGGAGCAGTTGCGGGAGGCTGCCATCCCCCTAGGAAACAGGCGTCGTCTACATCTCCGACGACGAGTAGGCTAGGTTTATCTACGTAGCATATATTTACATAGCTTTTGTGTGTTGCATGATCTAGTATGGATTTGAGTTTGAGGTATGTGGTTGGAATGGATGTTGACTAGTCACTGTGCGCGGACGCACCTGGGTGCCTCCGTAGAGTTTGAGGGCGGGTTTTGGTATATCTTGTTATAGATGCTCTTAGCATGATTTGACCCTACTTTGTAAATATTTTTTAATTTAATATTTTTCATAGCGCTTGCGCGGGGGCCGCTATGTACCATACTATAGCGCCATGACTCATGACGCCATGCCCTCTACATGAAAGTTTTTATTATATCTCTTTTGAATATCTATCGTATTAGGACTAATTTCATAACCTATGCATATTATCATTACTATTTATTAGACTCTAAAAAGATATAAGTGAAGCATAAGAGTACAACTATTTCTTTAAAATATAACCATCGTCGTGCTCTAAAAAATATAAATGAAGCACTAGAGTAAGTGCCTAGCTCAAAAGATATAAGTGAAGCACATAGAATATTCTAACAAATCATGAATAAATGTGTGTCCCTCTCAAAAGGTGTGTGTGTGCAGCAAGCGATGATTATGGCAAACTAAAAATCAAATAAAACAAAGACTCATATAATACACGACGCTCCAAACAAAACTCATATCATGTGATGAATAAAAATATAGCTTCAAGTAATATACTGATGGATTGTAGACGAAAGAGGGGATGACTTCCGGGACACCCCAAGTTTAGATGCTTGGTTGTCCTCGAATATTACGTTAGGGTGCCTTGGACATCCCCAAGCTTAGGGTCTTGCCACTCCTTATTCCTCGATCCATCGTGATTTCACCCAAAACTTGAAAACTTCAGCACACAAAATTCAACATAAACCTTATGAGATCCGTTAGTATAATAAGCAAATCATAAACTTTAGGTATTGTTCTCAACCCATTCATATTTTAATACTGCATATTACCTACTGTATTCTAACTTCTCCATGACTTATACCCCCAATATAATCTATAGCATCATTAAAACAAGCAAACTATGTAATGAAAATAGAATATATCAAAAACCGAACAGTCTGTAATGATCTAAACAAACGCAATACTTCTGTAACTTCAAAAATTCTGAAAAATTAGTACAATGAGGGAAATTTGTATATAAATAATGTGTAAAATATTCAAAATTTTATCACGTTCCAGTGAATTTAAACAATTATAGTACTGGGCGCAAAAGTTTCTATTTTTTCACATAATCAAGTCAACTATCGACCAAATCATCATAAAGGCTTTACTTGTCACAAACACTAATTAAGACATAAAAACACAATCATAGCAATAGAATAATTGTGTGGACACAAGAAAACAGAAAATAAAACAAGAAAAATAAGATAACTATTGAGTTGCCTCTCAACAAGCGCTAGTGTTTTACGCCGTAGCTAAGCGTAATGCATAGTTTTAAGTATTGTCATCCTTAGTTTCCAAATCATGAGGCATGTGTTTACTAGGATGATTTTCAAAATTAATGGGGAACACATCATTTATTAAAAGTTTAGCATCTTAATGGAATTTTCTTTTAACCCCTTCGTGATTCCCTTTTACGATTCAAGAATATTGTCGATTAATACCATTGGAAACTTGTTGGATAATGTGTAAAGGGGGAACTTCCTTCTTAGCATTTTCATCAAAAGTGTGGTAATCACGAAACACATACCTCCTCATAATATCCTCATTAACTAAAATTTTATCAATTATAGTACATTCATGATTCATGTTGTAAAAGTCAAAGATTTATTTATCTTCTCGTACGATATAATCAAATTCGTTCATAAGAATAAGAGTAGCTATCTTTTTAACTTTAGGATCGCTTATGACAGGTAGTTCATAGAACAACCTTTGCAAAGTGGGGTGAGTACGCAGAAATCTTCTTTCAAGTTTAAGAATGAGTGCAGAAATAGCTTCAGCATAACTATTGGTTCTCTTAAGAATAGGGACACCATTGCAGACCAAAGTTCCCGTACAAGCAAAGAATTCCTGAATAATACTTTTTCCTATGATGTCCCACTTCCCATCACAAAAAAATTAGTATCCAAATTTACAGAAATTTCTTCTTTAGGAGTCTTACCATCATCACTCTTAGCGATAACAAATTCAAACATGATGGCAACTTCAAACAAAGCAAGCAAACAAGCAAATAAAATTATTTTTCTATTTTCGTAAAAAAAAATAGAAGTAGGGGAGATGAAAACAAGAGACAAAGGCAAATAAAAATTAAGAGCAAGTAGATGATAGTTTGTGCGAAGGTACTTGATAGGTTTTGGTGATGCATCCCCGGCAACGGCGCCAGAAATTCTTCCTGCTACTTGTGAGCTGCGTTAGGATTTCCCCGAAGAGGAGTGGATGAAGCAGTACAGTAGGGATAAGTATTTCCCTCCGTTAAGAACAAAGGTTATCAATCCAGTAGGAAAACCACACAGAACCTCACTAGGAGCACCTGCACACACAAAAGCAAATACTTGCACCCAACACAAAAAAGGGGGTTGTCAATCCCCTCGGCGGTTACTTGCAAGGATTAAATCTTGTAGTGATAGGTCAATAAATAAATTACAAAATAAAATAAAATAAGTAAAAGTGCAGCAAGTATTTTTGTGTTTTTATATATGATAAAAGTAGACCAGGGGCCATAGTTCTCACTAGAGGCTTCTCTCTTGAGCACATAACATACGGTGGATGAACAAATTATTGTTGGGCAATTGATATAAAAGCGCATAGTTATCACGATATTCAAGGCAATGATCATGTGTGTAGGCATCACATCTGAGACAAGTAGACCGACTCCTGCCTGCTTCTACTACTATTACTCCACCCATCGGCCGCTATCCAGCATGCATCTAGGGTATTAAGTATAAAACAGAGTAACGCCTTAAGCAAGATGACATGATGTAGACAAAGTAAACTCAACTAATATGAATAAACCCCATCGTATTATCCTTAATGGCAACAATACAAATACGTGTCTTGTCCCCGACTTTGTCACTAGGATAGAGCATCGCAAAACTCATCACAAAGCACCTCTCTCGTTGCAAGATAAATCAATTTAGGTTCCCAAACTAAATGGATAGATCGAAGAGAAATACAATGCTATAATAATCATGCATAAAATAATTCAGAAAAGACTCAATTAATATTCATGAATAATCTGATCATAAACCCACAATTCATCGGATCCCAACAAACACACCGAAAAAGAAGATTACATCAGATAGAACTCCAAAAACATCGAGGAGAACATTGTATTGAAGATCAAAGAGAGAGAGAAAATGCCATCTATCTACTAGCTATGGACCCATAGGTCTGTGGTGAACTACTCATGCATCATCGAAAGGGCGGCAAGGATGATGTAGAAGCCCTCCGTGATCGATTCCCCCTCCGGCAGAGTGCCGGAAAATGCCTCCAGATGGGATTGCGGAAGAACAAAAACTTGCGGTGGCGGGAGAAGTGTTTGGGGGTGGCTCTCTGTTGGTCTCCTGATTTTAGAGAATTTATAGGGGTGGCTCTCAGTTGGTCTAGAAAAAATCATCAAAAAGTTTCATAGCGTTTGGACTCCGTTTGGTAATGATTTCGTGGAAAACCAAAACAAGCGGAAAACAACAACTAGCACTTGGCACTAGTTAATAGATTAGTCCCAGAAAATGATATAAAATAGCATGCAATTGCAT